AAAAAAAGAGCCACACCACCGGGATTTTGAGGAATTTGCCTGTGGTGTTAAAGGGAAGGAGCAGAGTTACAGAGAAATTGAGAGAGAGAGCTCTACCTACCGACAGATTACAAGAGAAGTCAAGAGCACCGAGAACCAAGCGTGCAGACACACAGAGGCACCATGAAACGCCTTTGAGATCGCATAAAAAAAAAAAAAAAAGCCACTAAAAAGCAGGACTTGAGACAGTCCAGGGACAATCTCGCACTAATCTAGAATTAAAGCCGTCTTTTTTTTTTTTTCCTTTTTTTTCCTCCTTTTTTAATCTTCCATTGTCTCTTTCGTTTTGCATGCGAGGGTCATGAGTTCCTACTTTGTAAATCCTCTCTTTTCCAAGTACAAAGGCGGTGAATCGCTGGAGCCAACTTACTACGACTGCAGATTTCCACAAAGTGTTAGCAGGAGCCATGCTCTGGTGTACGGTCCGGGCACCACCGCTCCCACCTTCCAGCACCCTTCACACCACGTCCAAGAGTTTTTCCACCACGGAACCTCCAGCATCTCCAACTCTGGATACCAGCAAAACCCATGCGCCTTGGCGTGTCACGGAGACGCTTCTAAATTTTATGGATATGAAGCTCTGCCGAGGCAATCGCTTTATGGTGCCCAGCAAGAGACGACTGTTGTACAATATCCTGACTGTAAATCGTCTTCCAACAGTAACTCTAGCGAGGGACAAGGGCATTTAAATCAAAATTCGTCTCCCAGTCTCATGTTCCCATGGATGAGACCTCACGGTTAGGACCTTTTTTTCCTCCTCCTTAAATGTTTTCCTTTATTTTTTCTCTCTTTCTCTCTCCCTTTCTCTCTCTCTCCTCTCTCTCTCTCTCTGTGTCTATCTATATGTATATGTATGCATATACAAGCACAAACATATGTATAGCTATCTAAACATGCACAAACACACGTATGCATACATATATATATACGTAAAAATATCAATATGAGAGGCGTAGATGTAAAATATGCAAGAAATGAGCAGTTTTGTGCTAATGTTTCTTCTTTTTAGGAAGACCTTTGAAAGCAACCAAGACAGCAGTTACTAGAGAGCCAGCAAGGTGATTCCCTGCAAAAGGCTTAAATCACAATAAAGTAAAACTTGTTTTTTATTGCTTGCCTTGAGGATAGGCAATAAGATACAGCTCCCACGAGGTTATTTGCATGTTGATAATACACTGCTCTTTAAAATGTCATATAGCCTTTCATAACCGCTTGGAGACGAAGCCTGAAAGGTGGGAACTTGTCTAAGTATTACTAATACTTTACATCTGTTTCTTAAAGCCTAAAGATAAAAGTTTAAGCAGAAAAGGAAACTTAGCTCAGAGCTATGGGGTGGGGTGGAGGAGAACCAGTCTGGGTTTGAGAGGAAAGAAAGAGGGGGGGGTGGGAAATTCAAAATAATTTGGGCTGAATGGGAACTTCGCTCATGTGAAGTCCACGTAATTGCACAGAAACCGAAATACTTCAAAGTACAAGTTTCCCCCACCTAAGGAGCAAGGTTGTCTAGAAGCCTCGTTAATTCAAAACATGTGAAGGTTAGTGTTCATTTTAAGGACAATTTTAAGAGCCCCGAAGTTTTTTGCCCCCCCCACTCCACCCCCCCACCCTACCCCCACCAAAATTGAGCAGCAAACCCCAGAAAACGGGAAGGAGTCGTGGCTGCTGCAGAGGGGACGTGGCCCAGAGACGCAGAGGAAAACTCGAGATTTCTCTAAGCTTTGACCTAGAGCTCAGGGATGCAATCGTCTCAAACTGGAGCGTATTTTCTCCTTGCAAAATACATTGTTTTTCTCATTAAGAAAGGACCCAGCAGAAGGAAGTGCAGGGGCTCAGCTGCACATACCTCACTCCTCTTTTTTTTTTTTCCTTTTCTCTTTTTTTTTGGCTATTGCTGCAAATGTCCAGCTCGACTTGTTTGAAACCCAAGCCCTGTGTTTGCACAGGCAAAGCCCCATCTCTGTGCGTGCCCTGCAGCCACAGCCCGAGCAGAAAGGACGCGGAGAGGAAAATTCAAATGCTCAGGGCGTAAATATTGGCAAATAGGAGGATCCCTGAGCCTGTATTTTGGGAAGAATATCTGGGGGAGGAAAGCAGAGTTGGCCATTTTGAGGGGGAAAGGGAGAAAGGGGGAAAGAGAGGAAGAAAGAGGGAGAAAGAGGGAGAAAGAGGGAGAAAGAAAGAAAGGAAGGAAGGAAGGAAGAAAGAAAGAAAGAAAGAAAGAAAGAAAGAAAGAAGGAAAGAAGGAAAGAAAGGAAAGAAAGGAAAGAAAGGAAAGAAAGGAAAGAAAGGAAAGAAAGAAAAGAAAGAAAAGAAAGAAAGAAAAGAAAGAAAGAAAGAAAGAAAGAAAGAAAGAAGGAAAGAAAGGAAAGAAAGGAAAGAAAGGAAAGAAAGGAAAGAAAGAAAGAAAAGAAAGAAAGAAAAGAAAGAAAGAAAATGAAGAAAAAAGGAAAGAAAAGGAAGAAAAAGGAATGGGGGAAAGGAGAAAGGCTGGAGAGGATTTTATGGTGAACAATGCACCTTTCATAGGAAAATTTGTATCTATATTAATATAAAATGGAGCTGCCCAGCATCCAGAATCACCTTTTAGGTACCTGGAAAGGGCTCTTTTGTGAATGAGCTTGACACCCACCTCCCTGCACTCAGCCAGGGCTGAGCGCTCCCCAGGACAGGCAGCTGCCACAGCAGCCCTGCCATTATTAATAATAATCACTAATATTCTTAATATTAACCCAGCTACTTCACAAGAAACTAAAAGAGCGCCTTTAATATGCAAAGGGAGGTTTTTTTGGGGGGGTGAAGGCAGCAGCTTCTCTAGGAAAATTGAGGCGAGGGGTTTGGGGTGGGGTGAGGTGGGGGGGAGCAGAGCCTCCAAAATGGGAAGAATTAAGCAGTTATTTGATGTTTGTGTCCTACAGCTCCCGGAAGACGCAGCGGCAGACAGACTTACAGCCGGTACCAGACCCTGGAGTTAGAAAAGGAGTTCCTCTTCAACCCGTATTTGACACGGAAGCGGCGGATTGAGGTCTCTCACGCCCTGGGACTGACCGAGAGACAAGTGAAGATCTGGTTCCAGAACAGGAGGATGAAGTGGAAAAAAGAAAACAACAAAGATAAGCTGCCGGGGGCCAGGGACGAGGAGAAAACGGAAGAAGAAGGGAATGAAGAAGAGGAAAAAGAAGAGGAGGAAAAAGAAGAAAGCAAGGACTGAGTTCTCAGCCCCTTGAAGTCTCGTTTTATGGCAGATGATAAATCGAGATGTTTACGACGGTCATTTGCTTTTATAGAGTATAGAATGGAGAGGCTCACACAGCAGTAACTACCTGTCAAACAGTTGTAGCCTTTTTTATTGTCATAGAAACTTCCCCTACTTTTTTCCCCCCTCTTTTTTTTTTTTAATAGCTGCGTTTTTAGTTCAAGAAATACATCGCTGGCTTGCCTGCAAGAGCCGGGGGTGGAGGGAAAGGGGGGGGGGGAGAAATTAAAAAAACCCTGAAATGATCCAGCAAAGCAAAAGCACCCTCAACCCCCAGCAATCTCAAACTGAGCCTGGGAGCAAATGTCCCTGCTCCTCCCGCGAAGCTGCACGTAGAGATGGGTGCAGAATATGAATTTTTGTGATTTTTTTTTTTTGTTTAAATATATGTATTTTTTTCTTTCGAAAAGCTTGGTTGAATGAGCCCAGGGGAAGTGCGAGTGCACCCGCAGCCCCCTCCGCGTGTTTGCGCAGTGTCTGTCTGTCTGTCTGTCTGTCTGCCTGCGGAGCGCTCCATCCATCACCGCCCCCGGAGGGGCCATTCC